ATGGGCAAAAATGGGAAAAAAATGGGCAAAAATGGGGAAAAAATGGGGAAAAAAAAACATTACAGGGATGAGAAAATGGCAGAAAAAAAAAAGAAAATGGAAAAAAATGGGGAAAAATGGGAAAAAAATGGCAAAAAATGGGCAAAAAAATGGGAAAAAATGGGCAAAAAAATGGGAAATATGGGGAAAAATGGGAAAAAAATGGGGAAAAATGGGAAAAAATGGGGAAAAAATGGGAAAAAGTGAGAGCAACGTCAAAAAACGGCATTGGTATGGCGGGAAATGGGAGGAAATGGGGAAAAATGGGAAAAAATGGGGAAAAAATGGCATTACAGGGATGAGAAAATGGCAGAAAATGGGAAAAAATGTGAAAAAATGGGGAAAAATGGGGAAAAAATGGGGAAAAATGGGAAAAAAATGGCAAAAAATGGGGAAGAAAATGGGGAAAAAATGGGCAAAAATGGGCAAAAAAAAGGGCAAAAATATGGGAAAAAGTGGGCAAAAATAGGAAAAAAATGGCAAAAAATGGGCAAAAAAATGGGGAAAAAATGGGCAAAAATGGGAAAAAATGGCAAAAAATGGAGAAGAAAATGGGGAAAAAATGGGAAAAAATGGGCAAAAAAATGGGAAGAAATGGCATTACAAGGGTGAGAAAATGGCAGAAAATGGGCAAAAAATGGGCAAAAAATGGGCAAAAAAATGGGCAAAAATGGGAAAAAAAATGGGCAAAAAATGGGTAAAAAAATGGGAAAAAATGGGCAAAAATGGAGAGAAATGGTAAAAAATTGCATTAAAGTGGCATTAAAATGGGCAAAAATGGCAAAAAAAGGCCAAAAATGGCACCAAAATGGACAGAAATGGCACCAAAGTGGCAAAAATGGCAAAAATGGCATTAAAATGGCAAAAAATGGCCAAAAAATGGCCAAAAATGGGAAAAAAAGGACAGAAGTGGCACCAATATGGCCAAAAATGGAAAAAAAATGGCTCCAAATGGCCAAAAATGGCTCCAAATGTTCCCAAATTGGCTCCAAATGACCCAAAAAGTCCCAAAATGTCCCCAAAATGTCCCCAGGCTCTCACCGTGGCTGTGGTGGGAGTGGCCGTGGTCCTCGTGGTGATCGTGGTGACCTGCAGGGACAAAAATTGTCCCAAATTGTCCCAAAATTGTCCCAAAATTGTCCCCGAGGTGTCCCAGTGTCCCCAAAATGTCCCCAACCCCCTAAAACCACCCCAAAGCCCCCCAAAATGTCCCCAAAATGACCCAAAAATGTCCAAAAATGACCCAAAAATGCCACCAAGTGTCCTAAAATGTCCCCAAATGTCCCAAAGTGTCCCCAAGGTGTCCCAGTGTCCCCAAAGCCCCTAAAACCATCCCAAATCCCCCAAAAATGTCCCCAAATCCCCCAAAAATGTCCCCAAATGACCAAAAAATGCCATCAAGTGTCCCAAAAATGTCCCCAAATGTCCCAAAAATGTCCCCAAATGACCAAAAAATGACATCAAGTGACCCAAAAATGTCCCCAAATGTCCCCAAAATGTCCCCAAGTGTCCCCAGGCTCTCACCGTGGCCGTGGTGGGAGTGGCCGTGGTCCTCAAGGTGACCTGCAGGGACAAGAATTGTCCCCAAATTGCCCCAAAATGGCCCCAAAATTGTCCCCAAGGTGTCCCAGTGTCCCCAAAATGTCCCCAACCCCCTAAAAACCGCCCCACACCCCCCCAAAAATGTCCCCAAATGACCCAAAAATGTCCCCAAATGACCCAAAAATGTCCCCAAGGTGTCCCCAGGCTCTCACCGTGGTCGTGGTCCTCGTGGTGATCGTGGGGAGCTGTGGGGACAAAAATTGTCCCAAAATTGTCCCCAAATGACCCAAAATTGTCCCAGTGTCCCCAAAATGTCCCCAAACCCCCTCAAACCGCCACAAACTGTCCCAAAACTGCCCCAAAATCACCCCAAATTGTCCCAAAATCACCCCAAAATGTCCCAAAACCCCCCTAAAACCACCCAAACCCCCCACAAACCCACCCCAACCCCCCCCAAAACTGCCCCCAAATTGTCCAAAAATCCCCCAGAATCGCCCCAAAATCCCCCCAAATTCTCCCAAAATCACCTCAAAGTGTCCCAAAATCACCCCAAAGTGTCCCAAAATCACCCCAAAGTGTCCCAAAACCCCCCTAAAACCACCCCAAACCCCCCCAAAACCCCCTCGGAACCACCACGTAACCTCCCCCAAATTGTCCAAAAATCGCCCCGAATCGCCCCAAACTGCCCCAAAATCCCCCCAAATTCTCCCAAAATCACCCTAAAGTGTCCCAAAATCACCCCAAAGTGTCCCAAAATCCCCCCAAAGTGTCCTAAAATCACCCCAAAGTGTCCCAAACCCCCCTAAGCCCATGCCAAACCCCCCTAAAACCACCCCAACGCCCCCTCAAAACCGCCCCCAAATTGTCCAAAAATCCCCCA